TCAAAAAAAACATGAACGAATCTTCACCGTATGATTAATTGACTTGTCCAATAAGTAAATCCCTTAATCTACTTATTACCGTAGTTGTACTATTAATAGAGCAAGTAAAATCTTCAATCAATCGATCTCTCAATGTATATTGTCATATATTTAGGCTAACCGACAAGGCATGTATTCAATTACCAGCATATTGTACCCTCTATAATCGATGAAGTTCTTCTTTTCATTTAAAAAAAAACAATTTGAGTAGCTTCTTAAAAAGAAAAGAATTCAGTAATTAAACCAATAGAAGAAATTTAGTAAGAATATTAAATTAACACTTAATTACATGGAAAGCACAAAAAGCTGTCGTTCTGTGAAAGATGACCATAAGTAAGACAGCCGTAAAAGTGATGACATGAGCAGGCATCCAATCATAGCGGAGCGCATAATAAACAAAACAAGAAAAAAGATATTAATTATTAGATTTATAATGTATTTATTTGAGCTTAAGCTCCCTTTTTTTTAGGCCTGTTTGGTTCGTTTCTTTTATTTTTCAAAACCTATTTTTCTCACTTTCATTATTTTTCATCCTTACGAATCTCCCACATCAAACAATAATATGGTGACAACTCATCATCTCATCTCATTTCTTACTTTTAAAAATAAACTAAACACAAGAAATGTGTCGCATTAATCAAGTCATCCAACTCACCTCACCTCATTTTCCTTCACTTTCTACCATCTTTAGAAATTACTCACATCATCCAATTATATGGTGACAACTCATCCCATCTCATTAAAATTTTTCTTCCATCACTTTCCTCCAAAAAATAAGGAAATTGATTTTCCTAAGTATGAGTCACATCATCTAATAATATAATGACAACTTATATTCTCTCATCTATTTTCTTAGTTTTAAGAATGAATCAAACATAAGAAAAGAAACTAAACAATGAAAGTGAAGTAAAACATCAAAAATTACTCATCTTATCCAATAATATGATGACAACTCATTTTCTCCCCCCACTTTATTTTATAGTTTTAACAAACCAAACATCTGAAAGTGAAGAAAAATATCAAAATTTATCTATATTAATTTTTTTTCACCACTTTCTGCATTTTTTTTTAAGAAACAAACATGCCCTTACGCAAGTCAATGAATGTCAGCTGACATAAAGAAAGAAAGAAAGAAAGAGGGCTGTGGAGGTGTGACCGTACAAATGTGAGTCAAACTTGTAGGATGAAACTGCATGAAATTATGGGGAACGTGGGACCCACAAAAGTCACAGGTGGATGATTAACGGGTCCACGTTGCCATGTTGGCCTTAATGGGACAAAAATCACTGTATTATTTTGCAGTCCTCAAGAGTCAAGACTGTTGTTTCTCTTGACCAGGTTGGCTCCCAAGTGCGTTCATTTTTTTTCTTTTTTTTTGTGACTTTAATAAGTGTGATCCCTACCTACATGCGATTATAACATCAATTTTCATGGTATTTGTTTGATATAATGTCACAATGATATCAGAAAGCTAAATCCAAATACGAACATATATCTAGGGGTGAATTTATTGAAATCCCAATAATTTTGAGTCTTTGATTCGAGATGAACATATAACTAGGGGTGGATTTATTGAAGTTCCAAAAGGTTGGGAATTTTAGAGGACCCCCAAAATATTTTGATTATTTATTTAACCTCTATGACAGCGTAAGTCATTATTTTGGGTTCTTAAACAAAGAATATCACATAAACATCGGAAAGTGGTGATTAATAAATGAAAAATCAAAGTGTTTTGGGGATTTACTGGAATTCACAATCTTATCGAGGATTTAGTAAGAGTTTCATAGTTTTTGAAGACCAAGTGTCAAAGGTCAAAACTTACTGGGAATTCAGTGAAATTTGATCTTTACATATATATTCAAGCGGGACATTTTCATGTGAGGTGGGATAATTGTTAAAATTGAATAATTTTTTGCTAGTGAGATATTTTAGTAGGATAAATAAAAACAATTTTACGAAGGGGGGCATTTTGATAAAATAATGTAGGATAAATATTTATAATCATGAAGTATATATTTTGAGGATATAAATACTATTTATGTATTTAAACTTATTATTATTGATTGATAATTGTTTACGAGAATGTTATTTACTATTAAATAACTTTTGGTTAGATTATAAAATATTAAATTATAATATATGTCGTAGCTTTTTTTAAATTATTATAGTACAAGTTTAAAAAATTTTACATTTTTCTTCATTTTCTAATTATTATTATAGTGCAATTCTTTAAAAAATTTCACATTTTCCTTCCTTTTTCGGTCCCCAAGATCTGTTTCCCTTGTCTCTTAATTTTATTGGTTAATAAATTATGGATTGATACAATCTTTACTTTTAAATTAATTATATAATAATAATATTTGGTAAAAAAATAAAATATCATATATAAATAAGAGGAGACGAGATCTGATCTGATGGTATGGTCTAATGATGGTGATGACCATGGTAGGAAAGAAGTAAAAAAATATAAAAAATAAAAAATAATAAAACAAATAGGATTTCTAATTTTGTGCTACCTAGTTCTAAGCTAAAACTTGAAATAATTTGATAGATTAGAAATCTCATTTTTGTAGACATAAATAAAAAAAGGAATGATTTGTACAATTATCCTGTTTTTTTATTTTTCTATACAAAAATGAGAGTTTTAGTCTCTCAAACTATCCCAAGTTTTTGCTTAGAACTAGGTGGTAAAAAACTAAGACTCTTATTTATTTTATTATTTATTATTTATTATATTTTTTCTTTATTTCTTTCTTACTATGGTCATCACCATCGTTAGACCATGCCGTCAGAGCAGATCTCGTCCTCTCTTATTGATCTCTGATATTTTCCTTTTTATTACTAACTATTATAATTATATAATTAATTTAAAAGTAAAGATTATATCAATCCATAACTTATTAAACAATAAATTTGAGAGATGAGGGAAATTAGGAGCAAAAAAAGAAGGAAAATGTGAAAAACTTTTTTTAAACTTGTACTATAATAATAATTAAAAAATAAAAAAGCTACAACATATGAAAATATGCCAATAGTAAAAAAAGTTGGTTTATGCCAATAGCAAAAAATTGGTTTATTTTAACAATTATCCCACTTCGTATGAAAATGTCCGAATTAACTTATTCCCCTAAGTTTAAATGGTATGCTTTTATGGCACCTGAGGTTAGAATACACCCTCTCTAATGTACTATCAATCTATTAAAGCATATCAGAGTATAAAACTATATATAATCTCAATCCTAAGAACAAGCTTAGAGTTTTGATATGATAAATTGATATGTACGATATTTCCTTCTAACTATTCATTACATTAATCTTTAGATGGGCTGCTGCATAAAACTCAAAGTGTATTGACAATCTGATTTTGACATCGGTTGATGCATCATTAATGTAATAGACCGGAGTGTCACCTAGTTTCTAGTAATTATGACTACCTTAATTATTCCAATCTCAAAACCAATATGAATCGAAGAAGGGGGCCACAAGAAAAGCGAGGAGCTTACCCTAATCTAACGGCGTTATGCTAAGTAACATGCTCGTCAATAATTTAACCATGTAAGTAGGAATAAATAATGTGAGCTGGTAAACAGGAGGTGAGCTACTTCTTTACTAGGGACTACTGAAGGTTCGTTATGACAGTTGGATACTAATAATCTTAGGATTAGTTTAAGTAAGAAAAGAACCTAATGGCAGCCTTAATCACGGAAGTTACAGTATTTAATTGCCTTTTCAAAAGCTTGTTAACTTAGTACTAGGTCAAGGGTAGGTATTAAAGCTCCCCTGATCCTAGGCTTTATTAGGTTTCCTAGCCCAACTAATACAAGAATCCAAGTCGACTAATGTTAAGATGTTATTCGGTTAGCTGCAACCATAACTGCAACGTAAGCGCCTCACAAATCACAATCATTGTCGTGTGTAGTTTTCATTGCAGTTGTTTTGTTGGCTTTTAAATTTTCATAATAATTTGTACTTATTGTTATGGTTATCGTTGGAACTGTTTGTTTTGAGGAAGAAATGTTTAAAATTATACAAGGAAGAAATGTTTACAAACGCGACTAGAGTAGAGTCCTACTGTAATTGACCCAAAATGCCCCCGTCACATGGAAACTATATCCTACAACCTTGCAATTGCAATAGACCCAAAATGCTTGCTTTAGTATATAATATAATCTAAATACCTAAAGATCATCCAGCATCAAATACGTCGGGTCTAAAAGTCGGCGCCAGGTGTTTTAAAACCATGCATGCTTGCATTAGTATATAACATAATCTACGACTATGTTGGACTCCGGATTGTTATTACGAGCTGCAACTGCACTTAGCAATTACTGCAAAAAAACCAATCAACTTCAGTTACTCCAAAATGCTCACGGTTACCTGCAACTGTGATATGAATCTCGGGACCCTAATTCAAACCGAGCTCGGGCCCAAATGTATTAAAACTTTGTATGCTATAAGAAATGGGGCTGATCCGATACCCATTTTAGACTTCCATTCGCAATGAAAGCTTTATTAAGATATTTAGGGTGAAAAATGAGATGGTCCCAAGCATCAACAACTCATCACAAAACAAACCACATGCGTGCCCACACCCTGAGGTGAAGGCTGCCGAACTTTTAAGGTGGTTGCATGTGGTCTCGTTCATAAGACAGCACTAGACCTTGGTTCAAATAACCTGCAACTGTCATAACGCAATGATGATCATGTACTCAAATCATATACTCGTACAAATAATTGAAAAGCAAACAACCTACCAAGTCAACGCCAAATTATACACGGATAACCATCATCCGTTACCATTCTTAACTAAAATGTATCATCAAAGATCAGACTCCAAATATTCCTCGCATATCTTTTAGAAATATAATTCTAATACACGTAACAAACATCAACTGTTGCAAGAGCAGAATAATGACTCGAAGAAAATTCTCAGTCATGAGTAGGCGTTACTGATGTTGCAGTTCAAAACTGGGAACTTCCTTTGAATTCAAGCCCCAACAAAAATGTTTCAATTTGCAACCAACAGGCTACAACAAAACACAAATGATCATGTAAACTCTGGCAGAGCTCGCCAATAGGAAAAAAATAATAATAAAAGTACAACAAGCTCTAAAGAATCAACATCTACATAAACTACAAACGAAGTACATAATACATCATACAATTTTTTCAGAAAACAACCTGGGTCAAAGAATCTCTCTCAATATCACATCCCAATGCTATATCATGAAAGAACTTTCCATCATTTGATTGGAAGTAAGAGCACAGATGACTATTTCAATAAATAATGTGTAAATTTCTCAATCTAAAGAAACATTTACCTCTAACGTCGTGTCAGTCGAGATTATCTCTTTCTGGGTAGCGGCCTTAGGGTGATCAAGGCAGTCAAGCCTTATTCTAAGGTGCAAAGGTCTCATGAAGATGAAATCTTGTAAATCTCTACCTGTTTCTAAAAGCAGACTAAGGCAAGCATCGTCATTATTATTTCTCTGACTGGGCTCCTCCTGTACGTTCAAAATCTTCGTTGCTTCTAACGTCGTATCTCTGGAACCTTCTTGTTTATGTAGCTTCAGATAAAGCACCGCAGAAACAACCACCTGAGATGAATCATATAGTTCAACAAATCAAAGTTTCTAAGTACCGTCGCTGATGTGCCTCTCACATCAGTTATGCTACTTTTGGATAATCATGAATTTAAGAATTACATGGTTTTAATTTGGGTTAATTTTGTATAGCCCCCTGCACTACCATCAAATTTAACTTACTACCCCTGTACTTGTATTTTTGTAGATAGATCCCCTGAGTGATTTCTTTAAAAACATTTTCATGGGGTCTATTAGCAACATTAGATTTTCATTCTGGGGGTTTTTAATTTGGGTTAGTGTACTATCACCAAAATTAACTTGCTACCCCAGTAGTTGTATTTTTGTTGATAGATACTGAGTGATTTAAAAAAAAACTTTTTAGGGGGGTTTATTTGCAAAAGTAGATTCACTCAGGGGGGCTATCTGCAACAACAGAACTACAGCAGTAGTAAGTTCGATTTGGCTATAGATTGGGGATCTATCCACAATATCCCCTTTAATTTTGAAGACTATTCCTACAGCCCAAAAGAATGTGCATCCTTTTAACTTTGAAGTGCCTAATGAAACAGAAATATAAGATTGACATACCTCACCAGTTCCAGGACTGAGATTAACCTCACAAGAAAAATGCACTTTGTGCATATCTTGAGATCTTTGATCTATGAACTGATCTTCGAGTTGAGATTCAGACTCGTTGACTGACTTTGAAAATGCAAGGTTATCCAGCTCGTCGAACCACTGTTGGGCAACACCCACCTTGAAAAGGCCACCATAAAGCATCAGCAGAGACGAGACAAAAGAGGTTCATGTTATGAAAAGAAAAGGCTAAGACAAGGTGGATGCACCTTATCTTTATTTGTTTCCACTTCCTCTGAACCTGACAAATCGACAGCAGATCCTCTTACTTGCCGCCAGATACATTCCTCTTCAAGTGGTGCTACAAGTTCAATACCCTTTGGCAAATCCACTTTAACTCGTATATCACATCTCCCTGGGTGATGAAAGTAGATGTCCAACGAGAAGGGCTTTGTTTTTTTTTTTTTTTTTTTGGGGGGGGGGGGGGTGGTTGGTGGGGGGGGGCTCAAACATTTATTATAATTTTAATAGGACACATTTTACGCCTGCGCTGAAATTTCAGTAGATATTATCCATCGATGAAATTAAAAGAGACAAAAAAAGGGGGGGTGTTGCATATATACATCTCAAATCTTCCATATTTGCAAAAGTAGCACCCAAATCTTATACATCGCATTTTTCTACCCCTCACTTATTATGTTAGGGAATTTACTTTATATATTCGCCCAAAATTAGATTTTACAACTCATGACTAATATGCCCTTCATTAGTTAATTAGATCTTGATATGTTTCTAATTGAAAAAAAATAACCCTCAAAACCCATACAACAATCATTGGTTCCCAATTTCTTCTTCTTCTTCTCTTTATACAAAGGAGGGAAAACAGCTCCTTGATCAGGAACACCACTGCCATCCTCTTCTCCCATTATCAATAACCTCTCCTTTCTATCTCCATCCTTAAATCCTCTAACTCCCCCTGTTCCCCTCAACCTCAGTTTGCTGGAGGAGCAGAAGTTTTTGGTGCATCCCCTTCCACCTATGCTGGCCACATCGAATCTCACATCATCTCAACCTCTCACCAAACTTTCCTCCTCAATCGGTCATCGACAAGTTCTTCAAAATCAAGAGAAATTTCTTTATCAAAAGAAAGCTAGGGCTCTTGATTTAAAAAAAGAAAAAGAAAAAGAAAACAAAACGAGTGAGATTTGGGGGTTGAAGGTTTAATTGTGGGAATTAATTGAACCCATGGTTGTTGGGTATTAATTAATAGAGGTAATTTTGGAAATTATGCACTATTCATTTGTATTTAACATAATTATAGAAGCAGTGTTGTCAATGCGCGTGGCGCAATGTAGGGCACAAAGTATCTATACGCGCACATGCGCAAGGCACAACGCAATGCACGCGCCCGAGTGATGCGACGCACACACCGCACACATAATTTTTCAAGGTAGATAATCAAGCACGAAAGGACATGTTTAGAAATTCACATGAAAAATGTTAGGATAAATAATATCTTATTACAAAATCACAATATAAAATCTTAATTTCTTTTAATGCTAACACCCAACATAATAGCGAAGTTCATAATTTTTCAAATCATATGTCAAATCAAGACCGCTATCCAAGCAAAGGATTAGTTATGGTCCTAAATTGAAGACTACTAAAAAGGCTTAATGGATTTATTTTTCTTTTTGGGATATGATTTATCAAGTATAAAGACTCGATTGAAATGTTAATAAACAAAATTTATGAGGGTATGTACTACATGCACTCTGCGCAAAGGCAGTATGTGTGGGAGGCAGAAAAGGCGCTGCATCAGATGTGGGGCACTTTGCCCTCGCCCGCATAGCAAGGGGTCTAAGTACAATTAACCCAATAAATAATTTATGGATTCACATTGAAACTAATGACAGGACAAGGAAATTATACACATACTTGATATCTAAAATTGAACTTTTCTTTTTAAGTAAATCATTATTTAAAAAAATCAAACAGAAGAACACAACTACTGAGGACATGAGAGTTTCCTAATATACCAGGAAGTACAGTGAAGCGGTGATGATGCTCCTTCCAAGGTCTGTGCAAATATTTACTGGGACAGTGCAAAAAGATGTCAATGCAACTACATATACAAACATGAGTGACTAATTATTTGATATCACTGATTGTAAAACCATACTGCAGCAAAAGGACACGCGAAGTGTCATTAACTTTGAAAAAAGGTAATGGGCCACCTCACCTGTTAAAAACTGTCTCAAGAGGGCAAACCAACCAATATGGTAGCCCAAGGACTCTCAAGTCTGAAAACTGAATGTCCAAGGTAGTCCTTGATTCGTCAAGGCATTTTAGTACTCTGTGAGCAGCTTCATAGAAAAGGGTTCAAAAGATAGTGCAGTGTTAATAACACAATGATTATAACTGATGAAAACTATGATAATCACAAAAGAGTAGCCAGTGAACACCTGCATCACAAAATATTGTACAGCCATGGAATTTCACAACTGAGGACATCAAGCCAGCATAAGGGATACCCTCTGCTGAAATACTATTCTGAAGTTGATGTGATAATGAACTTTCAGAATCATTTCCCAACATGTTGACCTTTTCCTCTATCATATGCCCATAATTTTCCAGAATATTTTGTAGTCCTTCATGGATAAGTATATTTTGTAATCAAATATATGACGGAAACTAAAAAAAGAAAGAGCAGCTGAGCACAAACCTCTTGTAACCTTTTTGATCTCCCAGGTATTCATGTCCATGATCCATGACATTTCGAAGCTGAAAATTTGGTCAAAACGGATATGTGACATGTTACAAAATTTAACCTTTATTAATTTCAACTCAGAAAAGACGACAACTCAAATTATACAGAAAGGGAGAAAAGCTCGTGTAAATTGAAATGCAGAAAGCCTGATGAGTTATAGCAGATAAAGCTATTTTCTTGAATTTCTTCCCCTTCTGCAAGGAAGTTAACACTGATAAAATCTGCAGCTTGCTATTTCTCAGGCAGAACGTGAGTCAGATCTCTTGCACATTCTGTCCAGGCGTGCACCTCCTTTTATCCTTGAAGCTGTGTTATTGTAAAACCCAGCCAGCACAAAGACATGGGGTAATTTTGAACTGATGTGGCATGAGGTTAAATGTAATTCCACTGCCATTGTGTGTTCTCAGTGAAAAATAATAATAAACTAGCATGGCAGTTATATATTGTTCATCTCTTTATAAAGAAGGCTGGGAGCGTAAGAGCAGAAAATGACCAAGAAACATACTTTACAATATAAACTAGCATTCACCAGATGGCAAATTGGTTTCTTGATAACATCACAAAGCAGAATAGAAAAGGGGGACTCACATAGCCATCCAAAAAGATAGAACTAGAGGACATTGGCAAGGTGGTGGTTGTTTTGTTCTCGTAGTCTATTTCTATTTGTTTTGACAGTAAGATTACATATAACTGTAGAACAGTATTTTAAAACAGAGACATTCAGTTGCTATACTGTAGCAAGAAAAAATGACTGCAAGCAATACAAATGATAACCACCAAGCAGAGCAGCATGAACCACATGTATATTCACAGATTGAAGGAAAAAGACTAGAAACGACCAAGTAAAAGACACAAGTAAAAGCTTCCAGATAATAAAGTAGATCACCCCAATCACCTTCGGTTAAGAATAATTAGGTCGTTCTCCCCTGACTTCAATAAGTGCCATGGAAGGCTGAGCGAGTCCAAATTGAATTCGTCAGAGATATCATCAACTTTTCTTGCTAAACCAAGTTTATCCAAGATCCAGCTCCATATACCAGTAGTTCTAGAGACAGATACAGGGAACACTGTCTCCAGCATTCTTCTCTCCATATCAGCTCTCCTGATTGCATTATTCTGCAATTTGGGGGGAAAATCAGCAGGATAAGCAAATAAGTCAATAACTACATTTGCAGAACATATAAATAATTAAAAGTTAACATTCCATACAAAAAAGTGTCAAGAATCATGGCAATAATGCTATAGATCCAAAATACACAGATGAGCATGAAAGTTTGTGTACCACGTCAGAGGGGGAAAAACTAGGAATAATGAGTCAGATGAATCGTAAAACTAGTAAAAATGGGATAATTATTTTTAAAGCATCGGCTAAGTAGCCATCACAAGGTTTCATACTACTTGTCACATCAGGATTTTGAACAGTTATACAATAAAACATCAAGTCAAGTACACCAAAAGCGTTAAAATAAATTCATGTCAAGATCAAAGCATAAAAACCCATAATTCCTATTTACTTAACTTCCAACATTATATGGCATAGTGACAAACCAGAATACCTTCTCTGCACACACACACACACACACACACACAGAGAGAGAGAGAGAGAGAGAGAGAGAGAGAGAAGCTTTCAAGCATTACATCTGAAGGTCAACAAGTAATCCTACAAAGCATATGTTTAGAATCTTGCATTAATATGAGAAACCTATGTTAAAGATAAATTTGGACAACATCTGACATCCTGCATTCTAATGGTCTATGCTAGTAACGTCCACAATCTGAAAGATCCCCAATCTAACACCTGCTATAAAGGCGGCCATTACGAATTCTATCAAACCCTGGTAACCTTGTGCAGCTAACGTCCTGAACATGTTAGGTCCCAAAGAGCCCTAACTTGTGCATGCGGCTGGATATAATTAACTTAATGACATTTCAGAGGAAAAAAATACTTGAGCAAATAATATGCAGTGCACGTGACTACCTTTGAACCGAATTGCTAATAAAAGACACCCTTTGAGTAGAGTTACATGGTCTTAAACAGGGAAGTTCTGCTGATTTCCCAAATTTTATCAGAAGAATCAAATTAGCTCGGTTATCGAGGAATATGGACTAAACTCTAATGTGCCACATACCTCAGAATCCACGAAATATAGGCACTCTTCATCACTATCATAGAAAGATGCAGCAGGGCGGAATAACTTGGCTGATTCAAATTCACCATCTTCAAACCCCGGAGAAGAACCAATCTGCAAAAGAAATCTAAATTAACGCCGAACAAATCAATTTAGTAGTGAATTCATCCCATCTGATGCATGGATCCTTATCTAAGCAAAACTGTGAGGAAAAATTCAAGGCCCAGGAACACGGAATTCAACCACAACCAGAATGGAAGAGCGCAAATTGATAAGATTTATTTCCATTAAATCTATAATTCCACCAGGATCTGGCCCTCATGAACCCTACTACCCATGTTACCGATATTACCAAGAAAGCAACCTTTCAGAACTGACATGAATGATCACAACACGCGCCATAAGGGAAAAAAAGACACCCTTCTCAAACACTGACATAAAGAAATATATTTACATGTTCCATATGCTTAGACAAGGTCACATCAAATCTAAGTATATCTGAAACATATTTTTCCAAGTTCACCATGTACTAGCTATCTAATAAATCATTAGTTCTCAGTAACAGGCTGCTAAAAAAATGCAACATTGTCAAAATTTTCACTGGATTTACTACAACCACAATAATAGGCCGCCGTTTCAAACTAATGTCAGTACCATTTTGATCAGAGTTTCTAGTAAAAGAAAGCTTCCTTTAGAATCCAAGCCTCGTCTCAAAATGATCTTTCAATTTATGTCCAGGTCATGTTTCCTCTCTAAGCAGAAGGAAATAACAGGAGAAAGTTAGCCTAGAAAATGAAATAAAATAAATTATTCTTTCAAAATCATAACAAAGAAAATGAAATCAACTTATTTTTTAAAAATATTTTATCTTTTTCATGATGGTAATATTCATGAAGGCATGAAATGGTGGAAATCTGGTCATGGAAGAATGTGCAACAAATTAAGCACAGGATTTTGATATTTTGTTGATTGTTCCACAAATGAGCAGTCATCTACTAGGAAAATTGCCCACTCAAGTAGTCACCTCACATCATTTCTTTTCACATATGGATAGCCAAACACTTCCTGTAAATTTTACTGTATGTCCATTTAAAATATACCAAATTCATGGTAGTCCAAAAATGTAAGCCAACATATCCTATATACAGAAAAACCATCCAAAAAGATACAAAGAAGCTGACACTCACACAATCTAAAACCTTCCCCTTGCCATCAGTAATAATAATCCGGTGATGGTTACTGTCGGAGATGAATAGGCGGTTTCCATCTTCATCTACAGATACACATCCTGGAAAATATGGATACTCACATGATAATGGTTCCAAGAGATTCAACAATTTTTAGTAGTTATCTTTATACAAAAAATTAAACACAATAGAATAGTGTGGACTTTGGATAAGCAAGAATCTACGACTAAGACATTTGTGCTCCATGTATAAGCTACAAAACTTACAATTTACTTTGAATGCAAACTTTTGATTCCGCAAAAAGTGAATCATCTTTAGAGTACATAGAATGCATGTGCATAAAATAATGTTTTCAGAAGCACATAACAAAAGAACAATAATGTGCTCCCATTAGTGCTGTCCTAAATTGCACGGGAAAGGGTACAGATGTGGGTATGGGACATGTTGTAGAAGGTTGGGTAGGGGGACACGGCTGAAACTCATGGAATATATTCATAGTTTTGAGTTGTATATGTAAATGACCCTTTTAAATCGTAAAGGCTAAAACGCAACTTGACCTCTCATCCAACAAGTTACAAAAACATGGATGTGAAGTGTATCGATATATATAATATATATATATATATTATATATATATATATTATATATATTAGATATATATATATATCGAGTGTTTTAAGTTAAACATGCATTGTAAATTTGAGCACAAGTCTGAATAAATATATGCATATATTTAAGGAGTGTCCAAGAAGTATTGGGTACAGGTACGAGTACGGCACGTCCGGCACAGGTACAACTCCATATTACCAAGTACCTAGGTAAAATAGTTAGCTGTCTATAGCAAATTTGAAAGCAACCTCTGACTAAATGTAAAAATCATACACTAAATGGAAAGCAGTCAACCAGTCACCAAGGTAAGGGAACAATCAAAAGAAACATTTTGGTAACAGAACTGATATAGAAGAACCCATACACCACCAGTTTCTGAATCTCAACCATAAACACACATCAGACAAGCAAGCAGAGACACTAGCATTACTAAGAATTGAGGTTAAACATTTTGTTCTCTATATACAAGAAGGAAAGAAATGATTCATTTTACTTTTTCTGGTGAATCAGCCAAAATAATACCAAATAAATCCTGCCAAAATTATGCTGAAATGAACAGAATAATCCATACCGGTCAAAACAAAGACCCTTGCTTCCAACATCTTAAATGACAGCTTACTTAGTTACCAAACTAGATTCAGGTCTTAGCTAACATAGGGAAACCAGAAGCTCAGTTGCTTCTAACATCGCAACAGAAATATCATTATGATGTATAACTTATTAAACACAAACTTGTGGTCTAAATAACTGCAAAAAATTATCTCATTAACAAAAGAAAGAGAAAGAGTACCAGGATAATATAGAAGTAAATTTCTTAAAGCAGATGCAGCGTATGGTTCCTTCATAATTTCGTGTTGTCTCATAACATCACCATTTGCATTATGAAATAAATCTGTGTCATCTTTTTGAGAAACGTCACTTAGAGGTACATCAAGTTCCTCAATTGCTGCAAAGAAATATGTCGATAGTAATATTAGGGATGGGAATAAACATCTCCAAATCCAAACCATCTGATCATGATTGCTTGTCGTCAGCCAAAGGCTAAGAACTACACAATAACGAGTTTTCAACTAACTTGCAACAAGCAAAGGGACATTGAAGACGTATCACATAATAGCATTACATATCATAAAGCAATAAGCAGACACAAAAAGAACACAACATGCAAACTACCTCAAAAGTAAATTATTAAATGAAACATTGTTAAGATCTTAAAGTTATTTGAATAATCTTGCTTGCTAAAGAGTGATTTAAATAGACAAATAAAGCAACTGCAATCAATGAAATGATATTAATAATTTAAAAATTAAAAAAGTAATGTGAAAAGTTGAGAACAAAATGAGAACTTCGCCAGGTAGAAATAAAAGTTTTCATACTATGAATGCAATTTTCATAATCCTATTAGCATGGAGTTTTGCAAACATCCCTCTGATATCAATTTCAGGCTGAATAAAAGTTTCATGTTATGAATACAATCTCCAATCTTGATTGACGGAAAAATATACAAATTGGGAGTATTATGGAGATCAATACTTCCTAACATTGAATCTAGTGTAAAGTATTAGGACAGGAAAATATAACTTATGCATTTTTAGTGCCTAACTCTTTCTAGTTCAGACAGAAACTGCAATATCAGCTTTGGGGTCAAAATTCTACGCTGAAAGTTTATGAATTTCAGAATGTTATCACAAAGTTAAGCAGGGTATTAAAAAAATCATCTGTAGAGATAAAACCAAAACTGCCCAAGGACAAGCAAAAACCAGCATGCTAACAAAAACCAATTTTTTCCCCATCAAGAAATAAAAAGATTAACACCTTTTATGACAATCACAAATGTACGTTTTCTCTGACTTCCAATGAGGAAGAGTAAAGGACTTACCTCTGACAATACCTTCGAGCTCTACACCCAGCTCATGATGAAGCAAACGATTTGTGGAGCCTTCAAATAACAAGCAGGATGGACCATTTGTCATCTGAATACAATTGAAAAAAAATGAAAAGAACCAAAATTATATACAATTTAAAGAGAAAACTCAAATCACAAGTTATGCAATAGCTAAGATAACTTTTTTTTTAAATACACCATGATGTTTTGCTTTCTTTATAGAATGGTGATTGACAGAGGTGCTCTAGCCAGATTATATTTGACTGATGGATAAAATATAAAGAATCAAAACTTCTAGACTTACGAGGAAAATTTAACATGAACAACAGTAATGGAACCTCACCATCAACTTTTCTCCATCCATAATTGAGACAAAGAAGGGCAGCAACTCAACAAAATAAATGGAATTTGCTTACCAGTAATAGGTTCTTTACTAGTTATTTTTATATTTAATTATTAGTTACTGTAATTAGTTATTTTATTTGAAATTTTAGGTTTTACTGGATCCCTTATCCCTTATTGTCATTTTTTAACTAAACAGTATTTTGTAATTTTAAAGATTGCAGGGTTGCTGGCTAGGGAGACTGGGAGAGGACAAGTTGTTAAATCAAAATTATTATTTTTGGAAAGATTTTGTTTCCTCCTCCAGTCGTCTATGGATTAGACTGTGATTTGGAGTGAAATTCATCTTCAGTGTGAAGCCAGATCTAGAGCGTGAAGCTCATACAAAACAAGATGTAAGCAAGTTTGTATAAAGTGGCATATGCACTGTGCATGTGGTCTATGCAGTGTGTGTCTGCAGAACACATGCAGGTGTTTCACATATTGTAACATTCGTTTTGATTAACTGTTTTGTTTTTTTGTTTTGAAGCTTTTTGAAATTGTTTTCTTCTTTCCTTGAGAATCCTAAACTTAAAAAAGAATTTGTTTCAAGTTGTTTAAAAATGAATAAAAAAGAATTCATATTTGAAAGACCCAGGTAGTTATGGTTCCTTTCTCCACTGTTAAAATTTTGAAAAAAATTCTCCTTTCATCATTCTCTAAAATCAGAGATTGTACGTTAGACCTTCACCCAATATTTCAGGAATAAAAAAATAGAAGCTTTATCTGAATACTAACCATTCACTAATTTTGGAGATTTTATTTATGATAATGGAACGCTAGTACACAGTACACTAAAATTTAAACATCCATATCTTAATTCCATTCCTTCACATCCTTGTACCACTTGTGAGGATTTGCAACAACATGCAACTGATCTTTTTAGATAACATCTTTCTACAGTTGGTGCTTTGCTGGCTTGGGGGATAAATAAATATTGAGTTGAAAACATGTATATCTTAATTACACAGTATAATAAAATTTAAACATGCATATCTTAATTCCATTACTACACATCCTTGTACCATTTTTGAGGATTTGCAACAACATGCAACTGATATTTTTAGCTAATATATGTTTTTTGATTGTAGCCTTGCTGGCTTGGGAGATAAATAACTATTTAGTTGAAAACATCACTTTCATCAAGAATTGCGCCTGTTCCCCATATGCGTCAATGAATTGTGATTTGGACGTAAAATCCTTACCCTATCTGAAACCTAATCTGGGGTTGAACCCCATACAAAACAAGTCATGACACCTTCCTATATTTTTCTCTCCTAGTTTTCCCTTTTCCTTTTGTCGCATAGACCTGACCACCTTCCTAAACTCATCCAATTCCCTTCATGAACTTCAGTCCCAAATCTGAATCAAATCTTATCTGAACCAGCCCAAAAAAAAAAAACAAGACTTCATCCTAAACCAACTTTCATCCCTGTTGATATCAGTCTTAAAACTTTAGTTCTTAGACTAAAACCCACACTATAAATAATGCTGATTTAACCCTGCAGTCTGAAAATTTTGTTGTTTGAACAAGAAAATCAACTCAAAACAATAATGATTAAACCAACAACCTCCCACAACATGCAACAACCTTTAATAACCCCTTCAGATCTCAAAGTCATATCCATGAGCCTTTAAATCACGGAGATCAACAGATCAAAGTAAGGAATCATTTCTCATTATTGTTGGGTCACACCATTTCACAAACACAGAGAGACCAACAGCAAGCTCACAGAATTATTATAACCGCATCTACACTTTAAACCGAGGTTCATTGTATTCATGGAGAAAGACCAGACAATTTCAAATGTGAACTAAGCAATTAGCACAAACAGTCATACAAGTAAACACAGTAACACGAAAATGCACGTATATGGTTTTAATACAAAGAAGCAGGTTATGCCTTTCATAGATACTAGCATACTGAGAAAATTATAACTTACCTTCAAAAAATCCTTGTCCAGTATCAAGACGGGAAAAGTGATATATTCCTCCATGAGAGTTCGGACAATCTGTGCTTGTGTGGCGACAGATTTCATGGAACTACCACACTGAAGTCCAAAAACATTAAGCTTGGGAAACCTGTCATGAGAAGCTAATTGCATGTCAAGTATTCTACATTCAACAAGCATAATGAATACTGAAGGTGACGAACCTTTGTTTAAGAAATTTTACTTTCTCAAACATGGCTGCACAATTACGATTGCTATTCAAAGCAGAATCCTCGATGTATGCATTCATAAGAACTAAAAGGATCCCGTCTTTGTTTACTGGAACACCATTTTGGTCCATATAATTCAGCCATCGATGATTTGGTCCTGCAATTGCAAAAGGTGGATGTCCAAATGATAAGAATAAATTGCGCTCCCAGGGATGTGGTTTCATAAGAACATATGGATATGACCACCTAACGTGAATAAACAATGATATTAAAAAGAACAAAATGGAATTCTTTAAATAAATAAAAAATCATCATACAAAAAACAAATTGGCATCAAACAACAAAAACAGCAACTCAAGATGTAGCTAGATGTTTTCAAAAAATGTTAATTTAAAAATCTAGGAAATGATCAAGAAAGAGACACAGGCATCCGAATATAATCATGTCCTAGAAGGCTAAAACATATCAAACAGAACAGTCAGTCATCACTGAATTGCTCTACCTTCTTGCAATAAATTGCCGGCAAGCAAAAAAAAAAATTATTTTGTAAGAGTGCATCGATCAAAACACCTTAAATTTAACAATTTATCGGTTTCTCCCTTTTGAAATTTATCGGATTCAAACATTAGTTTTATAAAAACAATAATTGGAATCCAAATTTTCCATTATGAACGTAAGCATCATGGAATAGGATATTAATATCATGAAGCCTAAATGTGTACAAATTAGATGACAGTTGGACTAGACAGTCAATAGCTGCATAAAACACTTTTAAGTACCAAATGACCAAACATTTAGTAATAAACGATCTTAAAAATTCGATAAAGAAGACCAAAAAGATAAATATGTTCACATACTATCAATCAATAGATATAAGAAGCGACGCGGATGAAAATATGGCTTAAATTTTTAGGGGTAACATGACAATTGGCTCAGTTGAAATGCTCAAAATTACCCTCACAGGACTAAAGATATAGCTGCCGTAGAAGGAACAAAAAGTTATTACTTAACCGTTTTTTAAAAGAAGTTTCTGTTAAATATTACCTTCAAACTCACTGAGCCTAGATTTGATAAACTCCAAGGTGTCTGCATGTGCCAATGAATTATTGTTTGTTTCAGATAAGCTCGAACATCTGAACAGAAACTGTTACTTGTATGTTAGTGCTTAAAGATGACCTAGATGAGAATGTCATATTCTATCAAAGGAGCAGGGACATAATGCACAAAATTTACATAGATGTATAGAAGCGAAGAGAAACCTTAAACTCAATATCAACATGTATGATGAAAATTTTCATTTAAGATGCTAAGCACTTATGATTATTTCGGGGAGTCAAAAGTAAAGGGTAAAAAGGACAAGAACTCGTTAGATTCTACACCTGTACAAACTGAATATAAAAGAAGTTTGTCTTTGAGGTAATTTGTTAAAAATTATATTATTCCTTTAAAAATATCTACTTCATCTAGTGAAAATTAAAGTTTTTGAAACATATTGTTAGCAACTATCTTCTTGTCAGTATAAGAGCATATTTGAGAACTGCGGATTATAATCCATCTGGGTTATAATCAATTTGTTGATTACGATCCAGCTGGATTATAATCTAAAGTGTATTATCAAATTTAGCATGTGGACATTGAATTAACAACTCAAGGTGTTTTCAAAAACTACTCAAAAGCAGAATTACATTTTTTTTCTCTCCATTTGAAGCATGAAATTTGATGGTTTTCCTCTGGAAGAATTGCATTTTTCTTGGTATAATTACGGTTGTTTGATATTTTTCCTATGATCTTGTTCCTCCTATAATCCTATTAATGAAATGATGCTCTCCATGATATAATGAGCTAAAGGGAAATATTAGTGACTATAGAGTACTAACAATTCTACATAAACATCAAATTGGGCATCAAAAAATAAATTTAAGCTACCTTCGAAGATTATCTTTGGATCCTTCGACATTTTCCCTTGTCAACAAAGGAGAAATCTTCCTTCTTGATATAGCACCTAATATTAATTACTCACGTCAACTTGAAGCATGAGAGAGATATCTACAGATGATTTATAAAATAAAAAAATAATAAAAAAAGGGGGATCATACAAATTCGCATAAAATGTAAGTTACCTGAGTGAAAATGGCGGGAAATCATAGAAACTTCATTGAGCCGACGCAACCTATACGCCATTGATTGGAATAGAAGGCACTCTAGCTCAGACTCTATCTTTGTGAAACCCTAATTTTGGCGGAAATTGAGGAGAATCTTTTGGGGGCGAGCTGAGGAACGAGAAAGGGTTTACAGGGTCTATGATTAATAGAGCAGACCCAAATCGGAATTTTTATCCGACCCGAATCCGAACTTATATGGATGTCGAATCTACTCTTCAAGACGATCCAAAGAATTACTGCAGTAAATTTATGTTGCATAATAAGCATAAACTGTAAATAAAATTGTTTATACTACAGTAAAAAAACACTGTAGTATGATGTGAACTATTTACGCTTCAGTATTAACATTTGGATTTAAATATATTATATGGTTTCAAAATTAAATGTATTAAAACATAGATTTTTTTAAGTATAAAGGAGTAAATATAAATTCTACATCAAATGTATTAAAACTTGCAAATATAAATTCTACATCAAATGTATTAAAACTTGCAAATATAAATTCTACATCAAATGTATTAAAACTTGCATCCTTCTTTAAGTATAAAAGAGTGGATATAATTTCTAATGTTAAGTATACAATAATTAAATCAAATGCATTAAAACTTAGAGAGATATAAATTCAAAATGTATAGTGCTTAAAAAAAGGGGTCGTGCTTTGCACGAGGTGCACACTAGTCTATACTTAAAGGAGAACCCAAGAATCATTGTTTATACTACAGTAAATTAGTGTAGCATAAACAATAAACCAAACATGTCCTCTATACTTGAAGTATTGTTTATGCTACAGAAAATTTGGATATTTCTTTAAATATAGATATAATTTCTAAATAAAATATATTAAAACTTGGATTCTTTTTTAAGTATAAATGATTAATGAATTCTATATCAAATGTATTAAAACTTGCATTCTTCTTTAAGTATAGAGGAGTAGATATAATTTTTAATTTTAAGCATACAATAATCAAATCAAATGCATTAAAACTTAGAGGGAAATAAGTTCAAAATACAGTGCTTAAAAAAACAAAAGGCTGTAATAATGAAATTAATAAATTTTGAATATTTGACCTTACTATTGTCAGAATATTATATGGCCATCTTCCCTCTTCTCTCCTCCTCGGTCTTTTACCTATCAAAACATCTATGAATAGACTCTAACATTACTAAATTAATTACTTTTTTAAATTTCAATTAACTTAATCAAGGGCTATCTAGTGATTCATGAAAATGTAATTATTCAACACAATATTCCAATTTTATTTCCTTAGAATTACTATAATTTGGAACTTGTAAGATAACTTCAATTTACGGAGTAAAATAGCAATTACTATGATTTAGAATGAGATTTTAAAACAATTCTAATTTAGAGGGTGTAGATATATAAATAAACAAATAAACCATTTTAGGTTGTTATCTTGTCAGAATAACCTTAGGATGAGTTGAATCTTCGATCAAATCATGGAAACATGACTAACGACAAGGGAATAAAGTAACGGTAGACCAACAATAAACATGTAGTTTAAACATATCGATCTATTTATTCATTTTTAAGTTTTTAGCAAAAAGTTCGAAGTCTAATCACTACCAATCAATTGTATAATATCCCACATGCGAGCTGGATGTTCCAAACTATAAGCGGGGTAGTGCAATTACTAAACAAACCCTACCCTCCTCTTTGAACGGTTGAGCACATCCTAATTGCATTTAGGGGTGTTATCGGAGCGGATACGGTTCGGATATGACGTTTACCATATCCATATCCGCTTTTTATAAACGGATACAGATACGGATACGGATCACCCTCAGTAAGAAAAAACCTTAACCATATCCGCATTTATCGGAAACGGATACGGTTCGGATATTTGAGAATCGGATCGGATATGATCACGGATATAAACGGATATTCGACATAAATCTATTAGACATATAATCTTCATATAAAACCATCAATTGAAAACTAAAATTGAGCACAAATTTATTAGACATATAATCTTCATCCAAATTTCAGTTGCACAACCCAACTAAAACAATAGTGTCAGGAATTGTAACCAAACTACAACAATCATATCCAGAATTTCAAAGTTCTATGAATTAAAAATTGAAGGCAAAAGCATAGGCAAACTTCATGAAAGAAATGCAGCTCCTGTCAAGGACAATTCATAAAGCTAACTTAAATGGTTCAATGCCGTACATTTCAGAAACATCATTACAAGTGAATAATCAAACTATGTTAGTACTCAAATCATCTGAATATGAGAAGCCCTAGCCATAAACAAGTTTAAAGAATGTAACAGAACACGCATACAGATGTGTAACATAAACTTGAGCTTTTGAAGTCTGCACAGCAGAACCACTTCTATTTTTTAATTGTTTTAAAGAATGATGATCATTAAGCCAGATAACTAACTTTATAGGTTAGAAATATCATAGTAAACTATATAAGATCACTGCTGTTTGACAACTACATGATGAATATTAGTAAATGTGCACATCATAAAAATTTTGGCCGTGAGAAATATTCAACAGTGATTTTTTTTTCTTTTGTAAGTAAGGCTGTTTAGAAGTTGACAGAAAAAGATACGCATTCCACTGACTAAGATGGGTATTGTGCAACAAAAACCAATCCATAAGCTAAATTTCAGCATGAGAAGCATTGTTTGAAAAGTGGTATAACAACATTTCCTAATACCTGAAAGTTTTAACTTTTAACAGAGGTTATATTAAATGTTTCAAGATAGTACCTTGCCTTTAGTAGATTTCTCCTTCCGCAGCTCCAAAGGATACCTAAGATGAAGCAGATAAAGATTTTGAGCAAAAAAATTGAACTCTATATTGATAAACGCAACAGTAAGTGCCCTGGACAGTTGATGTATGTGCAAAATCTTGATAAACAAAATCTTGATAAAAAAAATTGAATTCTATATTGATAACTAGGGTTGAGGGTGAGGGCCTAGGTTTTTTTTTTTAGTTTTGGTTTTGGGTTAGCGGGTTTGTAACTATAAGATTAGGACCCGATTACCCGAATCATTATTACATTGCGGATATCCGTATCCGCAACCCTCATATCCGTTACCGAATTCGTATCCGAAAAAAAATCCAAAACCATATCCGTATCTGTTACCGTATCCGCCCGGTTTCAAATTTAGCCTATCATATCCGCATTCGTTCGGATACGGATGCGGATCGGTTCGGATATATCCGAACCGTTTGGCACCCCTAATTGCATTGCATGCAGGTTGCTGTCAGGGGATTTACTCATCTAATCGAATTTGTAAGGAAACAAGAAGTTAATTATAAGTATACTTTTTGAAGCCGAATTGGTAAGCTACCCATGAGTAATACTTCAAGATCACGGGTTTGACTCTCCTAGCAAACACACATATGAATTTAATTTCCGGGAATACTCGAGGTCACGCGTTGGAGGGTGCCTCTTAGCCACAGCCGGGGTTTAATACCCATAATCCGAAGGATTGTGGGGAACTTCCCTCATCAAACTAAAAATAAAAAACCAACTTTTGAAAAATGTTTTGCAAATAAAGATCAAACTTGGAGAGTGATATTTTCTAGAGCAAGGACCATACACATCAGTAGAAACAGAATAAACTAATATACGCAACAGAATTTAATATTTTTCCTTCATCAAAAGCACACCAACTTACGAATAGGAAAAAAAACTATATAACAAAAAAATCTCAAAGTTAAGATTAAACCACGTCATATCAAAGACGAAAAAAATTGTTTTCACTTGGTGATATTTAAGGGAGCTAAAATGGCAAATCTATCAGTTTTTGACAGTACTAGGCATCTTTGAAGTTGCGTTATCTTTGTTAATACCGCCAACATTGTGGTCTCTGTGAGAACTTTCACTACTCTGTCACTTTTGTCTCTTTTGTCACTTTTGTCTCTTTTCATAGCACAAAAGTGATCCCTGAAAGTTAATTTAAGAAGATAACTATGTTTGGAAACGTGATAATTTCTTTTTTTTTTTAATTTGTTATATACATGATAATGACATATATTTAACATGGATCCTTCTCACAAAATAAAAGCAGCAACCTCTCTGTTACGACCCAAAAATCACTAAGGTGATGTTTGGTTGTTTGCAACTAGAGTTGCAATGCAAGTGTCACTTGCATGCAACTGAGACGTTGCAACTCTTCTTACATGCAACTACAGTTGCAATTGTTTGGTTTAAAATTTAAATTTTACAACTTATAGTTGCAGCTGTTTGATTATGCTTATAAATTAACATATGCAATGCAACTCATAAAATATTTTTAAAAAATAATATTTTTTAAAAAGTAATATATTTTTATAAAATAATATATTTTTAAAAAATAATATAATTTTAAAAAATAATATAATTTTAAAAAATAATATATTTTTTAAAAAGAAATATAATATTTTAAAAATAATATAATATATCATTTAAAATATATATTATTTTTAGAAAATTATATTATTTTAAAAATACATTATTCAAAAAACATATTATTTTAAAAATATATTGTTAAAAATATATTAATCAAAAAATATATTATTTTAAATATATATTATTAAAAAATATATTATTTTGAAAAATATATTATTTTAAAAATATATTATTTTAGAAAAATTATATTATTTTTAAAAATATATTATTTTAGAAAAATTATATATTATATTAAAAATATATTTTTTTAGAAAATATATATATTATTTTAGAAAGTTATATTATTTTAAATATATATTATTCAAAAAATATATTATTTTAGAAAAATAATAGTATTCCTGGAAAATTTTAATTTTCAAAAAATATATTATTTTAAAAAATAATATATTATTTTAAAGATAATATATTACTTTAAAAACTAACATATTATTTTGAAGAAATTATTATAATAATAATTATTTTAAAAGATTAATGTTTTTTAAAAAACATTTTTGAGGAAATTATTATAATAAGAATTATTTAAAAGACTATTTTAAACCTTTAATGAATTTATTTTTGAAATATTAAGTAATGATTTTGAATTTAATAAATTTAGGTCAGTTGCAACTAAGTTGCAACTATGACTTGCGGTCATTTTTGACGTAAGTCATATGTTGCAACTGAGGCTTGTTTTGCAACTGTGGTTGCAATTGCAACGGTGAGTTGCAGCAAAACAAACACATGCAACTGGTCAAATTGGACCTAGTTGCATGCAACTGGAGTTGCAACCACTCCAGTTGCAGCCTACCAAACAGCCCCTAAGTAATAATATCCATTATGACACTGACACGTGTCCCTGTACGTAATCAAACAAATCTCTAACTGAGACGACTCAAGCCATTTGCGCAATCAATTCGATCGGCCAACAACTTGCGTAGCCGAGTCAAAAGGCGATACTTGTCGGACAACCCACCAGGTCAACCTGTACTCGGCCTACTAATTAGCCGACAACTCGTGTAGCCTAGTCAAAAGGCAGTGCTAGCCGGCCATTGACCAAACAAATAGCGAAACGACAATTATCTCGAAACCCTTGCTAGCCGACTGCCTCTGCATTAACTGTTATGACAAATCATCATTACTCTATCCCCATAGTCTTTATGACTAATCGGACTCAGTCAGCGCCAAACACCTGCTGTCGTTCCCTCATTATATGACTATATGAATCACCCTCTTCCATGGCTGACACCTGTAAGATGATTGCCGACTCATATGTCTAGCTGGACCCGGCCCAAGTTGCCTATTTGCCCTTCCAATCCACTATAAAAAGGGAACAGTATTGCATGTGGTAAGGGTGAGTTTTTTCAGGCAATTTTAAATTACCCTACTCTATACTTCCCACTCAAGATCAATTACTGACTTGATTGTTAGAGGAACAACCGGATATCCCAACTCCGCCCTCTCACGAGCTCTTTATATGCAGGGAAGAAAGAACCTACCATCTAAAGGAGTTTGAGGACCTGACATTCTCATAATCCTCATAAACCCCATATTTGATAACCGACATCAATAGTTTGGCGCCTACTGTAAGGCTTTCTTTCTTCTTTAAGCACGATGTCTAATTCTGAGCGCCCTAGTAGGCTTGTCCACCCAGTCCCTAAAGAACCATGTGTGGGCTACGTTACTCAAGCCTAGTTGGAGGAATCTGCTCAGCGGATGTCTTTGTCTTTCCAGTAGCGGTTTGCGGTCTTTTGCTAATGAACTTCTCAACCGAATTCATCCCTAACAACCTTCCTCATTACTGGCTCCACCACCTTCAGCAGGCCAACCCTCAGCTACTCCTCGGACCGCCAGCAAGGCAGCCGTTGGTCCCTCCAACACCGGCGTACGCCGCACCAGCTGGTTATCATAGATACTACGTTGAGTACATGTCTCCTCAAGCACGCTAGCAAGCTCACTTTGCTGATCCTTACTGGCATTATCCGCAGTTTGTGGAAGCCACAAGAGAGAGCGCTAGTCCTGGTCATGATGACCGAGGATACGCCACTGGAGGAACTTCACGAGGCCCTAGACATCATCATGTCGCTCCAGGCCCATCAACCACAAATGTGGCATCTGGTTACGATCAGTCTTTCTGGCCAATCGACCATTGGAATTCAAATTCACTTCGTATTCGTGTTCGGATTTGAATTCGGCTCAAACAGCACTATTCGTATTCGTGTTCGAATTCGACTCAAATAATACCTAGAATTCAAATTCACTTCGTTTAGTTATGTATGTGTTCGGTAACCATTCGCGAACATTCGATTAACAATATTTGGTGGTTTTGATATCAAGTTATTCGTCAAATATTCGGTATCTATTTGCCAATTATTCGAAAATTAATACAAATGAAAAAAACTCAGCAAACAAAGTATAATCTTTTATAACCTTAACCTGAGGCCAAAGAAAATACAATAGAGCAGTTTAATACATGTTATGTGCTCAAAATTTACAAACAAAGAAGTTTCTTTCACAATATAAAATATGCTAAATAACTAGAAACATACACCTATAAAATAAAACAAGAAAAACATCGTTTCATAAACTTATCCAGTCTTCAGTTATCCATACAATTACCACAATCATACCCAGTTGATCAATATCACATTTCCACTTGCATAGCACAACAAAAATGTTCTCTAGGGTCCATTCGGTTGGCAAAAAAAGCATAGAAATTAAAGATAAGGAAACATATTTCCTATAATAGGTTGATTTCTTGTGTTTAATTCACTTCCTAAAAGTAAAAGGAGATGAGATGAGATGAGTTGCACCGTATTATTAGATGATGTGAGTGATTTTTAAAGAAAGAAATTATAAAAAATGTTTTGAGGTTGTTTGGTTGGCTAAAAAATAAGGAAATGAATTATAAGAAACCTGTTTCCTTGTTTAAGTTTTTTCTTTTGTTTGGTTCATTCTTAAAACTAAAAAATAGATGAGATGAGTTATCATTATATTATTGGATGATGTGACACATGCTTAAGGAAATCAATTTTCTTATTTTTTTTTTTGAGGAAATGAATGGAAATGAAATGTTAATGAGATGAGTTGTCACCATATTATTGGATGATGTGAGTGATTTTTAAAGATGAGATAAGATATGATGAGATGAGTTAGATGATGTCATGCCCCGTTTCCCAAAATACCCGGGAATCGGAACGTGAACAAGCCCGTGACGTATTAGATCAAGGAAAGTAAATAAAAATAACCATTTCTCCTCAATCTAATACGCTAAGTGTCTGGAAATAAATACAATGCGAAGTCACAGGTCCCCGATCATAGATAGCAAGAATATAAAGACAACTCAGAATAAGAAATAAACATATCATCAAGCAGAT